GGCAGCCTCTGCTACCCCCGACACTGCAGCAGAGACACCCTGTCACACGTTCGTGTCACCCCGTGACACCTCTGATGTATCGGGGACAGGCTCCTGTGATACCCGATGAGGTGTTGGGGACACCCCGCACCACGTCAGGGACACTCGTGACGGGGGATGTCACCTCCTGACTGCCCACGACATGTCAGGGACACGCTCTGACATTTTTGGGAGACCCCGTGACATGTCGGGGACCCCCCGCCAGCTCCGGGAGGGCGCCAGGTGTCCCTGTGAAAACTCGGTGAGCGCTGTGGGGCAGCCGGTGCCACCCCGGGGAGGTGCTGGGGATCCCCAGTGACACCTCGGGGCCCCCCTGCCAGCTCCGGGTGTCCCCCTGAAGACTTGGTGAGTGCCACGGGGCAGCCAATAACACCCCGTAACACCTTGGGGACACTTTGTGACACCTCGGGGACAGTCGGTTACAGTTGGGGACAGCCGGTGGCACCTCAGGGACCCCTCACCAGCTCCAGGAGGGCTCCGGGTGTCTCCATAAAGGCTCTGACCGCTGTGGGGTGGCCAATGACCCCCCTAACACCTCGAGGACACCTGGGGACCCCCAGTGACACCTCCGGGACAGGTGGTGACATCCTGAGGAGCCCCTGCCGGCTCCAGGAGGGGCCTGGGCGTCCCCTCAAAGACTCGGCGAGCGCCACAGAGTGGCGGATAACGCTCTGTGATGCCTCGGGGACCCCGAGGGACACCTCGGGGACACTCACTCGCTGAGGGCCTGGGGGTCCTTCTGCATCTGCTCGAGGATGAGGCGCATGGCGGGGTCACTCATGATCTGCTGCACCTCGGGGTCAGCCATGGCGCGGCGCTTCACCTCCTCGGGGGTGTCCTGCCGGTTGTACTGCGCCAACAGGCAGCGCTGGTAGCCCTCCGCTGCCTCCTGGGGAGACAGGGCCGCAGGGGGTCGGGGGTCAGCAGGGGTGGCGGGGGGCCAGCGGGGGGATGGTGGGGCTTCACCCTCACCTTACAGGAGGCGTCGAGGTCAAGGGCGCGCTGGTAGACGTCCATGGCTTTGCTGTAATCCTTCATGGCCTCCAGCGCCGCTGCCTTCCGGGTGTAGCCCTTGACTGTGGGCAGATGGACGGGCAGAGGGACGGGCAGGGGAGGAGAAGAGGGGGTATGGAGGAGGAGGAAGGGGTACAGGCAGAGGAAGGGGGGGCCACCCCAAACCCAGCCCCACGCACTCACTGAAGGAGGGCTCCAGGCGGATGCACTCCTCGCAGTCCTGGGGGGAGAGCCGGGGTCAGAGGCACCCCAGACCCCCCAAAGCAGCCCCCTGCACCCTCAAACCCACCCCCAGGACCCCCAGCCGACCCTGCACCCCCAAACCAGCACCCC